CAATCGGATTACTCTTACATCCACCCCAAGTTCCTCAGGATAGGCTTCCCCCAACTATTAAGCGCAAGAAACCTGGCCTACCTATACAGACACAACAGCACCCAGTCTACCTTCATCTCCAAGCCCACTCCATAAATTTCAGTCCAGCAAACGAATGAAAAAAGTTCAAAGAAAACAAGGATACAGGAAAAATAAATAGCAGACAAAGTAGCATAATCGCATAATCTGACCTTTCTCGTGGAAAAAAATCAGCGGAAAAATTGAAATGAACACAGGGTGTCAACACCAAGAAACACACATAAATAAATGTATGAAAAATAACATGATAAATACTCACGTTTACTACCAAAGTGAACAAATATCTGCTGCAGCGGACTTTGAATTTCACATTGAGGCTGTTCTTCTTAATTTTGACGATTTTAGCATCCTTCCTTCGTGCCAGCACCAAGAAATCCTTTATCTCAGTAATTTGCTTGGGCATGTTGATAAATTACCTGAACATGACAATGTAAAGCTATAATAAACATTGATTGCGCAACAGGACACGATCTTAAAGCGGCTGAGGAAACAAAAAAAAAAACCAAGTTTTAGCGAAGATTGATAGAGAAGAATGGAAAGAAGAATAATTAGGGAGATCTCTAGTGATTCTATTTCAACAATATGGCTTCAAATGTGCTCACAGGAACAAACCCCATCCACAAATTCAGCATTAAGGAAACATTCAAATTTGTGATGTGAGCGATCTCAACTCTACAAACGATACTAAAAGTAGTAACATAGAAAACATGTCCATTCCCAGGTTAAAAGCCAAAAAAGTATCCTTAGGCCAAGCAACGGAAAATCGCTTCGTGCCGGCTGAATACGGTAAGCTATCGTCGAGACCTCTTCGATCCCGGCCCTTTAAGAAAGACGGCCGTGCAATTGGAGCGTGGAAACTCTCCTGCTGGATGGATCGCCGCAATCCCCTTGTTAATTGTGGAAAGTCAGCAAATGAAAACCTTACCATTTTAAGAGACTGTCAGAAAAAAAGAAGGATAATTGTTCTAAAGTAGACACTTTCGTAATTGAGGTGGTTCGTTAAGAATGGATAAGGGATGGTGGTTAAAAGGGTTACGTGTCGAGTTTTCACGTTCCCAAAAACTACGTCTGAATGCTTACCTTTCTGGACTGATTCGGTTGGTTCAAGAAGCCAGATTTGGTGCGATGAGCTCGTTTTACACATTATGGAAAGGTAGAGTCCTAGCGTGGGTTTTCTTTGAGTGGGCTTATTGTTAAATGAGGTCCTGCAAGTCAAATTTTTAGAAATCCTGCAGCCAGATGGTCAATGATGTGTAAGGGATCAGTCAAGAGTTCCGATGATCTACTCTGACACAGTTTACAAAAGATGCGCCATTATACACGAACTTCTCACCAAAATTCCCTCTACCGAAACCACCCTCTGCATTTAGTTTTACCACAGTCGTACCTCCATTTCATCGTATAGTATCCCCTCTTTCACCCCTGTGCTCTAGCTCTAGTCATTGTTGTGCCTCAGTCGAGGGCCTTTACTGTGACTTCGTTTGGTACCACTAGACAGAGTCGGTTTGCTTCCCTCTAAGGCCGCGTTCATAGCTTGCGTTCGTGAAGAAATGCAGAAATGCGGAAAATGCAGAAGTGCGGAATCTGCAGAAAAGCAATAGATACTTATCGACTTGAAGAAATGCAGAAATGCCGAAACTGCAGAAGTGAAAGTGCAGAAATGACGAAAAGCATTACATACGTATCGATTTGAAGAAATGCCGAAAGTGAAGAATGCGGAATCTGCAGAAATGCCGAAAGTGCGGAATGTGCAGAAAAGCAACCGATACGTATCGATTTTCCGCACTTTCGGCATTTCTGCAGATTCCGCACTTCACTTTCGGCATTTCTGCATTTCTTCAAATCGATACGTATCTATTGCTTTTCTGCAGATTCCGCACTTCTGCACTTTCCGCACTTCTGCAGTTGTCGGCGAAAAGAAGAGTTTGATTGGCGAAATGGAGAATTTTGACGTTTGTACTGCGATCTTGGGGTCCTATTATAGGTTGGATGCGCGTGAGCGACTTCGTGAGTTCAGAAGCATAGGGTGATTCGTTTCTCCTATACTTGTTTCTAGTATCCGGAGCAAACCTAACATTATTACGTGGGGGAAGATTTGCATTCCTGTTCCGAAAGTTATTGTGATCGCGAGAGCGTTTTCTGTTCCGAAAGTTGGGCGTATTGTTGTATGCCGGTCTGCGGAAGTAAGTATTATTTGCATTAGATTTAGTAGAAACTAGCTTATCAATGGCTCTATCAATTTTCGCTATAAGCATGTCTTCCTCCATAGAGTTAGAACTTGTTTTGCTTATATCGAACATTCTTTCTGCATCACGCACTAGTTGGTCATAATCGTGAGAAAGTGGACCAAGGAGCTTTAACTTCTGCTTAATAGAGTTGGGGAGGGCATTAGTGAAGACCATGTATTGAAGAAATTTGCGTTGCTCTGCTAATTGTGCATGAGGGTATGCGTCCATGATCTCCTTGCGTATTCTATTTGAAAAAACTACAGGAGATTCTCCTGGTTCCATACGCATGTTCATAATCTTTTCCCTAGCTTGGTCGAGGAACTGGTCCGTTGAGAAATGTTCCTTAAGTTTGGTTATTGCTTCGCGCCAATTCTGTTTTCTGCATCGGAAAAATTTTCAAAAACTGCTTTCGCCACTCCTTTGAGGTGAGCCGGGAGTAGACGTACCATTTTGGCTTCGGTGAGCCCCATAATGTTTCCTATTTCGTTGAATTTTTCTAAAAAATCCATAAAACCAGCACCCATTTTTTCGCCAGCAAACGTGGGGAGCCTACTAGCATATGATGCTAGACAAAGTTTATCAAATGCTGACTCTAGGCGGTCTGCTACATAGTTGTTGTTATCCATGTTAACGTCAGATAGTATTGGGTTAGTATGATCTAAGGTTGGTTGAATATAACTAAGTTGAGCTTCAGCTGTTGCGTTGAGAAATTTTCCGCTTCAGCAGTAGGTATACCGTTTAGTTGTGGGTTGGAGAACGCAAAAGTTCAGTTGATGAGTATGGAGATAAGGAGGAACTACTATAATTAGGCAGTGGTGCTGAAGGTGTGGGTGGTCTAGGGGGGAACTGACTTTGCCTCTGCTGTATTCCGGTTCCGCTTCTACGCTTTCTGCAGAAGGTGGTTGAGATGATGCTCTGAATTCTCCTTTGCGTCTTGGTTTCTTCTTATCTGGGGTGTGAGGTAGGCGGACTTTCGTTCGTCGTCGCTTGACTGAGCTCCTTCCTGGGGTTAGGCGAGAGTAAGGTCTTCAGAACTAGTTAATAATTCGGAATTGGAACTGCTCATAGACTGATTATTTACTACTGCTATCTATTTGTGATGGGATAGTTAGGCGTCGAACTATTTATGTTCTAAAGTATTGATGGAAGTTAAAAGAATTGAAGTTGGGGCCGAGAGTTAAAAGAAAATTAAGGAAAAAAATGATCTGTTTTGGGGACTTCAGTGGGTGGATACGGTTATCCTTCAAAAGAAAGAAACCTAAAAGTAAATGTAGAATAAGGAAAAGGAAAGAAGAGAATAAAAAGTTATACTAAGGAAAGTAGTAAGGTATCAGTTGTATAGAGAAGGAACTCACGGTCTCTTGTAGACGAAGTTGTTGCAGGTTGATGATGATCCCTGTAGGCGAAGGTGTGGTAGGCTGTTGGTGGGTGGTTGGTGGTTGGTGAGAGCTGAGGAGGGTACGACCAGTCCAGAGGGAGTTAGTCGTAGACAACTGGGTGGTAGGAGAAGCTCCGACGCTTTTATATCAGACTGTTACACTGGTTGTGACCCCTAGGCACCTCCTCCAGGCGGCTGTCGTGACTTACCGTAGTCCTATTAAACTATATACGTTTGAAATTTTGGGGTTGGTTGCAGTGGCTTATCGCTAGGCAGAAAAGACAACAGCGAGCGTATCTGTACCATTGTGGGCTGAATTTGGGCGTTTTTATAGGTTTATTCTAAGTATTTCCATTTAAAACTAATGTAATCTAGCATTAAACATCCCCACTCAACGTTTCTGAGCCCCTATTGGGCATAAATATCTGATTTTTCGATAAAATCCCACATTACTCGCCAGTAGACCTTTTCCCTGTTCCTGTAGTCATGTGGACATCTAGAGTCTTTGCCCGGGAGAGTGGTTAGTAAACTTCTCTCCGGACCTTCAATATTGGGCAATTATTAGAAAAAATAGGAAAATTCAATTTAACTTGTGTATAATCTTCAAATAAAGTTTTTTCATCGATTTCTTGCCTTAAATGCGCTGAAACTTCTCAAAACTGTTGTATGCGCCTGTAGGCTTCCCGTCAATCGATTGAAAGTAAGAATTTCTGATTTTCGCTGGATTGCGCCATGCGACGGTTACTGCTTGCAATGTGCATTTGATTGGAAGGGTTTTAATTTAATATGCATTTTTCCTTTATATACCTACCTCTTCCCATGTCTGATTATTAGATCCCTGTCGAGTTTTGTGGCGTTGGATGCGCCGTGAACTCGAGTTAAGGTTGAAAATCTTACATTTGGGTGTAAGGCTAAAAAAATTGTTTCTGAAATTGTAGTTTATTATAGGGGGCTCCATCTTTAGGTGATTTCGAACCTGGAACAAGAGAGGAAAACAACAAAAACTTTAGCTAGGCTATATTTTTTTGATGTTGCTAAAATGTAGCTCTGCTGGGGGTCTGCTATGTTACAGCTGTGTTTGGGGTATACTCTTGCGGTCTGCTCGATGACATTGTATGAGTAAGGTGATTTATAACCCGATCCGCCTCTTCCTGTAGATAACCATGAGCTTGCACAGCTCAGTCTTCTTCTTCTCTTCGTTAGGTGGTGCTCCTCAGTCGTTTTCTCATGGCTCTCCTCAGCTAATACAATGTCTCCCTAAGTCTCGTAACATATTCCTAACTTATATGACAATTCTTTGATCTTTTTGATATTACTTTTTTCAATTCCCGTACAATCATCTTCCTAGTTTTCAGATCATGGATTCGCACACAAGTCGCGACTCGCCCGTATTCGTGCCAGCGAGTCCCACACTGTCAGATATATGCTGGCAGTGTAGGTACTGTCCGGCCGCCAGGGATTGTGGGCACCCCGAAATCCCCGCGGACGGCGAGCACGAGGAGGAGGTAATAGAGGCAAATTGATATATTTTTAGTATGGTATAGGGGAGGAATAATAAAAAAACTTACACTATTTTTAGGGTTCGTATCTAGAGTGCGGGAAAGCCGCGGCTTGTATTCGTGACCTAAACTCGCGAGCGCGCGAGGAGGAACGTAGGTGCATCGAGCTCGCTAAAGAGCTACGGCGCCACCAAGTGGAAATGGAAAGAGAGGTCGTGGAGCTGGGAGAGGAACTGCGAGCCTCAGAAAGGCGCTTTCGTAACACATTGCGGGTGAAAATTGATTAATTTTTTTCCGTTACTTTGTTAAAGAAGTTTAGGAAAACTTGTGAAACATATATTTTCCAGGAGCACATGGTCCTGCGGGAGGAACACTCCCAGTGGTGCTTGGGCCTGCACGCAGGGGTAGGGGTAGGACCCCACCCGGAAGAGTCACGCGAGTAACTCGCACATTTTTCCTTTGAAATAAAATGATGCCTGAGGTTCTAAAACCTAAATATTTCGGGTTCCTTATTTTGCTCAGTTTCAGAAAGAAGTATTTAATGTATTTCAGTTACAAAATAGAGAAAAAAACATGAGCTTCGAAAACAGGATGATGCAGGAACTGATGGTGAGTTTCAATTCTCTCTGTTGGGTTCAAAGTTTTAGTTTAACGGTGAATTCGGATGTCACAGGTGTCAGCCCAACCACGTTGGCGTACACCTTTCCATTGAGAGAGTCGCCAAAGCCAAAAAATGGAGAGTCGCCTTGGAAGCGAGGTGCGCGGACAACAGCGCGCTACGTGAGTGGCACAGGAACTACCTTCAGAATCGGATCAACCACAACAACCAAAATGACGAAGCCCTCGCAAATGTGAGTTTCACTTGACCCTTGTAATATATGTGTCCCTACACTCTCTGGCTAGTGATATAATCATTTACTTCCATCTGTTTCAGAAGAATGAGGAGTTTCGCGTGGAAATTTGGCGTGCTCGCGCCTTCGCCGTGCCGCCATCCGCCGTTCCGCTCAACACGAGGCGCTCGGAATAGAAAGATGTCCCACTTCGTCCCCGTCTCTTCCTCCCGTTCTGGACATCGTCCGTGATCCTATGTCAATGCAGGAAATAAATTATTTGAGAACAAAAATTGTTCGGTGTTCTCGTCTTTAGAAATTAAAAAAATCATTCCCCGGTGTGTCGAGGCTTGACACCGGGAGAAAGAGAAAAAAAAATGGAAAAGCAAGGGTTTTGGTGCCGCCCATTGAAGGCAAATCTTGGTTTTTCCATCTCTGTTTTTTTTTCGTGTATAGTAGCATTAATGCCTGGTTGACAGAGTAATGGTTACTATCACTCACCTTGTGTCAATCAGCAGAAATTCCTTGTGCTGGGGTAGTTATTGGGGGATTATATTGTGTTACCGTAATCCTTCGGTGCTATGTACCAGCGCGATATGTGCTGGCAGGAGGTTTGGAGGATTAATTAGTCTACCGTAATCCTTCGGTGTAGTGTAACGACGCGATATGCGCGGCGTTCACTGGAAGATTAAACATCGTAGCCGAGGTGCTATTGGCAGATTAATAGCTTTCCTCAGAGGTCAGGTAGGGTTTGTTGTTTGCGACTGGCAATCGTGCGATTTGTCATAGCCAGAGCCGCTGTTCGAGGAACGTATTGTGCTGCAGCGGCTTCGCCAAGATTTATGGCTCGCAGATCTTGGACGCGTTCCTACCCTGATGACCTGATGTATTGTAATGTGAGATTGATCATGTCTCAACATTAAGGTGTTGTTGTCAACCTCCTTAGGTGACAACTGTAGTGGGGAATGTCGACTGTTCGGCGATCGAGTCCTTTCAAATATATAACTACGGCATTAAATCACTTGGAATATAAGTATATGTGTATGTACATAAAAAATACAGTAAGTGTATCACTATGGTTAGGAATGGAAAACGATCGAAAACTACTGTAGCCACTGCAAAGTATGCAGTACTATTGCATAATAATTGCCGTAACTAGTGTTCCCTTTAAATTATAATTATAATCCCAGAATGATTTGGTTAACCAATCGATGAGAATGAGACAGCGTATAATGACGCTTAATGACACGGCAGTTACCGCGTGATGACCCATGAATGCAGCAGAATAACAAGGAGACTCCCGTCTCGATGTTGCTATAACAAAGAGATTATCTCGGTGTTACTCTGCTCTGTTAGAAGTAATATGAGCCCTCACTGCCAGAAGGAATGTCGCTTTCCTTCCTCAGTGAGATAAAGCTCCAACACGATAAAAGGGTGTACCCAGTATTGTATCTATTCGACGTAAATATCAATACTGTAACCGCCAGTTACAGTAATGATGCAATAAATTCTACTGGTTAGATAATAGGTGAGCCGTGAGAAAGGGAACTCGTCGCCAGGACCGTTAAAGAAACATATTGTCAATGCATTATTATGCATTGCCACCTATGGCTAAATGAGGGAGTGCAACTACATGCACGGTAAGGGAGTGCAACTACATGCACTGTAACCCGTTATAAAAAGAAGGAGGAGCGTCCTCCCCTTCCAAAACTTCGTCCTTCTCCTTTTTTTTGTTTTCAATAAATAAATAAGAAGTTTATTACATACCTGTATTGAGTCGATTGGTCTTCCAAAGGTTCTTCATTTGATTTGTACTTCATCAAGACGAAGAATGTATTAGAGGAAACAGGGGATGGGGGGGGGGGGTGTGATATGAATTTTAGTCCCTTTTTCAAAAGCCCCTGAGGACATGGAAAGGTTGAAAGGTTATTTCAAAAAAAAGTAAATTCCATGGAATAAGTTAAACTACCCGGGACCTCCATATCGTGTTATAGGTTCTCGAGGCCTATACATGATGGTGTAGCGGTGTTATGTAGTTATAGAAACATTCGGGCTATACATATTTATCTACATATATATAAGACAGAGAGAGGGGGAAAGGGGAGCAGCCGAGGGGGTGTAGGCAGACGACTGACTCGTCTTCCAGTATCCATCCTTCGTCCGTAGGCGTTGTAACATCCATCGTGAGTCGGGGTGGCACGGCTGGTGGCACCCGCGCTGCCTTGACCATTCCGCGAGGACACGACAAGGAATCCTACTATATATAATCCGCTAAGTATGTCTGTAAGTGTGTGTGTGTATGTTTGTGTGTGCGTCTGTCTGTGTGTCACGAAATTCATAGCGCCGGTCCCAGTAACAGTGAGACATTGATTTCAAGAAGTGATGTAGGCGGTGTGACGGGAACACAATTGGTGGGTGACAGGAAGTGATATCAGCTGATAAGATACGATAAGAGGCGTTAGAAGGGGGAGGTCACCATATCCATAACGCAGGTGGCAGCAGCAGTGGGACGTTGGTTCCGAGCAGTGAAATAGGGGGTGGGACGAAAACATTATTGGTAGGTGACAGGATGTGATATCAGCTGATAAGATCTGATAATGGGCATTAGAAGGGAAGGACTACCAAATTCACAGTGCGGCTCACAGGAACAGTGGGTCCTTGGATCCGAGAGGTGATATAGGGTGTGGGACGGGAACATCATTGGCGGGCGACAGAAAGTGATAACAGTTGATAAGATACGATAAGCGGCTTCGAAGGGAAGGGTCATCAAATTCGTAACGCAGGTTACAGCAACAGTGGGACCTCGGATCCGAGAGGCGATACAGGGTGATATGATAGTGATACGGGACGGGAGTGTTATTGGCGGGACGGAAGTGATAGGAGCTAAAAGTGACAAGGTAACATGGGAAAATCCGCTTCACCGCTCACAACAACAATGCGATATGACTCAAGTATAACGATCTCAATGATTCCAACAGAACTCATTCCTCGCTGCTTATTAGTAACGACATCATGTACGACCGCTAAGCTAGCTCTATTCCAAATGCATGGGGTTTGTTTACAGAGATGTTATGAACAGCATCAATTCACTTAATCACGCTTACCACAATTATCTTCCATCAACAACCTTAGTGAGGGCCATTTAACGCGTTCCACTGCTGAATGCGGGAGTGCATTCCAAAGCAAGACGCTTTAAGGCGACAGAATGCTGTTGTGTGTGGAGCGTGCGTCAAGGTGAGCGGGGCCAGCCTCAAAAATTCTTCAAGCGGTTCCAGAGCACTCCAGGCACTTCGAACCTCTGCGTGATACGGCCCGGCTTTGCGGGGTGTGGCTCTATCGCGCCTACCTACATTCGTACGATCAAATGCTCGACTAATACCCGGTTTTTCTCATCTGTCCACTTGATCAACGCTCCTTACCACCACTCCATACACCGTAATAGTGTTGAAAGGAGCAGGTATGATGCTATTGGTCAAAGAATGTTGACCACCTGTTCGGGTAAAAGAAGAGCCTGATACTAGGCGGCTAATGAAATGTGTGGAAGAAGGAAAGCGCGGCGGAGCCGCGCAGTATCCTAGGAGGCGCGCCGGAGTCAGCCGGCGAAGCCGGCTGGTAGGTTAATAGTACACTAAATATTTTAGTACTACTATTACCATCTGGAAAGCAGTTAGTAACACCTTGACTAGTAAGTGGTACTACTGATATCAGAATATTAGGATAGTAGTTGGTACCAAGAGATTAAGTATTCAAAACATTCCTTCTACTAGCCGTTTCAAGTTGTTGATACTATACATTAAAGATTATTTATATCCAATGTATTCATTTTTATATAAGCATTTTATTATATTAGCCGCTATGAATTCTTTGCGGTAACAATTTTTAGTGAGAGTGTCTATAAAGATTACCAGTTTCTCTTTAAAATCTAATAATGTGGAACAAGTTGCTATTCTAAGAGTCTCTGTGTAAATAACAGAGGCTTTACAGTTAGTTGAAATATTGGTGCGTTCATGTGGAAACCTGATCACATTGAAATCAAAGTCATCCATTTTATTGTAAAGTTTAGTCCGTACACCATCATTAGTTATGTTTATAGTCATGTCAAGGTAATTCCCACTATGCTCACTAAAGTTAGTTTTTCTGATATCTAGTTTACTTTCGTAAACTGTGTTGAGTATTTCAACTATTTTTTCTTCGTTCATATTATGAATGATTAATAAATCATCCATGTACCTGTATGGAAGAAAAACACTACCAATATCAGGTTTGCAACTTTTTGCATACTTGTATTCCATGATGGTCAAAGTGAGATCCGCAAGGAGTGGGCTAAAATTCCCAGGTACCCCTTTGTTTTGTTTGTATTGCCACTAGCAAATATGCAAAAACTATTTCTTAACAAGTGACCCGTGAAATACATGAGATCGTTTTTGTTGTAGTATCTGAAGCCCTTCTTGTATTCATCACCATCCCCGCCTTCGGCGGGTGATCCTCCTTCCGCGTGTGAAGTGGGTCCCTGGCATTCCTACTGAGGCCCAGTCGGATCGCCCGCCTTCGGCGGGCGATCCTCCTTCCGCGTGTGAAGTGGGTGTTGCCCCAGAGGTTCCCCAGAGGTTGCTATGCGTTTCTGGGTATGTCAAAAACTGACAGGAATGGGCGGTTTTAACAATGTTAATGGGCTCCGTTCTGCTTGTAACTTCGAGCATGCATAGTTTATGAGGTGGTCACTAATTAGGCCTCAAAATAGATTCGATTAAAGTCAAAATGTAAGTATCATGTGGTAACACACTTGGCATGCACCGACGCAAGAGTGATGTTTTTGTCAGCGAACCCTTCACGACCACTGCAACGGATCGGATGGCGCAGTGGATAACACGACGGGTTCTGGATGGCACGGCAAGGGGGACTTTGTGGATCGGATCCTCCTCGCGGAAAATGTTTTGCATTTTTCAGCTTTCCATTCATTCGCGTGCCCGTGTGTCTGGCAGTGGAAATAAGTCAAGTATATGCCATTTGAAGGCATATACTTGTGGCCACATTGTGGCCTGAAAGCGTGCTTGTGCTGCCCTCGTAGCTCATGTCAGAAGGGTTATTGCAATGAAATACCATCACATTTATGTTCAGCGGGTTGGATTACCCCTGGGGACTAATTTCTAGCCAAATCTGACGTTTCGACCTAACTTGGAAAATGTGGGCCATTCTA